TGTCCATCTAGTTTATAAGGAGCTACAATATTCAGCAGGTGCTCAGAGCCAGCTTGTGTGCTCTGGATGTAGGAACCTTTTGCTCTATCCGGTTGGAGCTACCTCTGTATGCTGCGCTGTTTGCAATGCCGTCACAGCAGTACCACCACCAGGTATGCTCTCTGTCTAATTTAGCACTTTTCGTGTTTTACGTCGGTGCAAAGTATCATCTAAGTGAACATTTAGTTTTTGATTCTTGGAGTAACATTCGGTTTCGCTTTTAGACCCTTTTCTCATGTGTAACTGAATAGGCACAGAAATGGCCCAGCTGGTTTGTGGAGGCTGCCACACCTTACTAATGTACATCCGCGGCGCAACAAGCGTGCAGTGTTCTTGTTGTCACACCGTCAATCTTGCTTTGGAAGGTATAGATCGACATCGCCATTAACAACACGACATTCGCATTTTTTTCTTCTTTCCTCCAAAACTGTTGGCTATAAAGGAAATCTTGAGATCTTTTGAAGTAAACGTTGAGTGCTACATTGCTGCAGCAAATCAGGTGGCTCATGTCAATTGCGGGAACTGCAGGATGCTGCTGATGTACCAATACGGAGCAAGATCCGTGAAATGCGCAGTTTGTAATTTCGTGACTTCAGTTGGGGTAAGTAAAGAATCTTCTTTCCACTAGATATATGGTTAAACAAGTGATGATTCCTTTGTTTCTAGTTTAGCAACACTTTGCGACCTTGTCAGTCCATGTTGAAGATAATCATGAACAGCTAACTAACTCATTACCGAAATTCAGTTACCAGAAAAAAAAAATTGAAGAAACATAAATAAATGTTGTAGTTGGAGATGAAGTGGAACTGATCAGCAAAGTGAAACTCTCTAAGCAGCACAAAAAACTTGCCAATTGATGTAGATATATCTGAACTGGGGTCTGAGTACATTCCAGTAGAACTTCCACACCTTATAATGAATTTACCAATTGTACCCTCCAGGTTGTATATCAAGTTTCTAGGAATATAAAAATCCTGTTCATGGAATATGCCAATGGCCCAAAACCAAAGCAATCCATTCCCAAGAGAAGTCACTTTCCCTCTCTCTCTCTCTCTCCTGAATATTTTCAGCCAACTGTAATCCTTTAAGATTCCAAATTTGTTGAAAATTATTGGAAATGGCCAACTAACTTAAAAGTAATGACCTTTCATAATAGCCTGCTGAATACAAGGAGTAAAAACGTTATCTGACTAGAGAAATAAAAGCATTTATGTTTGGCTAACATGGGTGCTATTCGGCTTATATATGCAGGTCCCAACAAGCACAACTGAACAGAAATTCAGCACTTAAATTATGAAACACTTAAAGATAAAAGCTGGTTTATCAGAAGTTTCTAGTACAGCTTGGAGTTTTGCACATCACAGGAGTATCTACCAACAATGATTTGCAGAACAAGTGATTCCATATCAATGTATAGAGTTATTTTTCCCTCTTGCGTGACCCTTCCGAGTTCCAATGAATAAGTAGCTTTTGCTTGCCAGGTCGGTGTATAAGAAGTATTTTTCTATGAGAAAGACTTCAGATTGTGAGTGTTCTTGAAAATCTTCGGATAACCAATTTCTCCTACTTTTGACATTTGTGGTGTATGAACGAGCAAAAATTTTCGCAGGAAAGACTTTATGATTCAATATTTCATTTTCAAATGGTCCAAGCACAAGCAAGAATTGGTGCCTAGAAAGCTGACTACGATATGTTCAATTGAATTGATCCAAGAAAGTTACACTTGGGACCAGGAGATATTTTTCTTTTTAGAAATGTAAAAACTGAGGTTGAGGATTCTGGTTTAAAATGTATGATTTAGACTTCCATATCAGCTTCTCATTAAGATCCAAGAAATGAAAGAAAAAACCCAAAAAGAATCTCTAAATAAAGACAAGAAAGCTAGTTGAAATTCTTGGTTAAAACCTTTAGAATTTAACTGTCATGGAAAAACAACAAAAACCATCGAAGTTTGTTAAGAGAAAAGATGGATGAGTGTCGCGTGTATTTGTGCTCGCAAGTGCATGAGTCACCTCAAATAATAAAGTGTGAATAAGAGTGTCGATTTCATGAAGAATGTGTTTAATTTTCATTAATTACTGAAATTTATCGGCTCTAAAATGATTTAAACGACCGGAATAAGTAACGAACAAAGAAAACTAATAAAAATAATAACTAAAAGAAATAACTAAATAATAGAAGTGTAATTTGGAGATGAAACTCTGATGATAATAAAGTGACTAGATGCTTTGATCTCTCTCTACTAAATTATGTTGATATCTAATATCTAGGCTCGTCAATTTATTTCACTCTCATTATCTCGGTTTTCAAAAATAATTTTACTCCTTCTCCCAAGTGCTGAGTAAAATAGTATGCAAAACCAATTAAGCAATATCCTTATTAGCTTAACCGAATCAAGCATCCATTAAGCAAACCTAATCTTGACTACTCGAATTAATTGGCCTCCCAAACTCAATTAACTCTAGGCAGTGTTTCTCAAATCCTAACATGTGAAAGTAACTCTCCCGAGCTGAAATCCACACATCTATATCTCTAATTCATGAAAACACAAATTAGAACAATTAACATAGAGAAACACAAATGAATTGAAGTGAAAATCACATTAACAAGCACTTAGAATATTCAAAGCATAGCAACGTTAAAACTACATTAAGCCCATATCTCTAAGAGTTTAGCTAGAACAAGACATCAAGAATCCCAAATCAAAATGTATAAACAAACCAAAAACCAAAACCATAATCAATTACAATTTTAGAGAATAACGCAAACTCAAAGCTAAAATAGAGGAAGAGAGAGAGAGAGAATGAAGAACTAGATGCAAATCGAGTTCCGCAATCTTCAATCTTCGGATCTTCAAGCAAGCCCTTAAATCCTTGTATTCTCCTCTTTAGGGTTCTGGGTTTTTGAGTCTCGAAAGAGCCACTTTGATTCTCAACACATTTATTTTTTATGCTTTCTCAAAATCAATACAAAAGAGGCCTTCAAATGACTGCAGTACGTGTGGAGGCGCTGCAATGAATAATTTTCCCGTTGCATCGCCACTTAGGATTTTTGAAAAATCCTAGTGGTGCAGACTCACCCGCTGAGTGCAGTACATGTGTAGTTTTTCTGCTATTGGGCAGAAAATCTGCAGCGGCGGATGGATTTCTTGCTGCAGCGGGTGTCTGATTTTAAGGAGGATTTTCACATTTTATATGGCCGAATTAGTTTTTGGTGTCTTCATGAAAATTGTAGCTCTATCTCTTATCTTTCCAATGCCACTAAGATTACCTCGTTTGAACTTAAGATAAGAAAATTATACCCTAAATACTAAAGTATATTCTAAAGTCAAAATTTCACTCTTTTTATTCTATTTTAACTTCAACGTATAAAAACAAAATAAAAACACATTTTAATTAACAAAAAATACTTGAAAACTTACAAATATTAAAATTCAAAATTACTTGATTTGTGAATAAAATACTCACTCATCAATATAGTGTACAATTGTTGGAATAATAAAATTGATGTGATGTTGTAACTTCTTTCTAGTATGGCTATCAACTATCCTCAGACAAGCATGCCCTACTACTATTCAAGATTTAATAATAATTGGCTATCACTCTTTTATGCATTATGACATAATTTGGCTGTAGATTTTGTCATAACCAACTGGGCTCTACTCCTTTTGGTCTCCCAGAAGTGTCCTTGTTTTGCCTCAGACAAGAAACTGTTGGCCAGTTCACAACTTAAGTGTGGGTCAAATAATATTGGTACTCATATAAGTAATTCTGTTCTTGAAATTTGGGTAGACCTTATTTTCCAACATCACTGGGTTTTTCGCGTCCCTGTTGTGAAACTGTTGTATCATGCATCTCTTTTTTTTTTTTTTTTTTGAAAATTTTTTTTAGGCGCCGAATGATAGTGAAAAAAATCTGGACTGTCGGAATTTTTTATTGTTGGGTTTTACTTGACAAAAGCAACTTAAACTTCTATAGCCCAAAGCAAAATCTTTTAACCCATGTTTAATCCATGTTAGTTCACATTTAATCTCACAAAAGGGTTACCACAAGTTCTTTCTTTTTTCCTTGGATTAGACTACAATATGCCAACCCAACCTTGTGATGCCCAAACCTAAAGATTAAGCTTCTTACCTCTTCAAATACAAGTGTCATTTTCCCTGGTAGGAACAATGCAAAAAATAAGAGTTTACTTTTTATTTGATACAGCTATGAAATTCAATTATTGAATGAGGGCACAAATGGTGAATTTCATAATCTGCGTGCATGACAATTTTAATGTAAAAGTTAAAATTATAAAAGTTAAGTAGGGACACATGTCTCACGCAGTTATAAATATCACCTCTGCAATCATTTTCTTATTTTGTATTGTGTGTATTTTAAAGACGAAATTTTAACTTTTTTTAGGGAGAAGAGCTATGAAAATGACATTATTTCAAGTGTTGTTATAAATGGTTGTAAAACAAGAATAGCTTGAGTGGTTTAGAAGATGTTCACAACGACTGTCTTATATTTATGTATTGGAACTAGCAGAATGAGACTGAATGATCATAAGAGTAACTAAATTTTTATAAGAACTGTCTTAGCAAAAAAAAAAAAAAAAAAAAAAAAAAAAAAAATTATGAGAACTATATGAGTCGCGACATTGGCTTTTGTATGGTAACATTCGACTACATTAACGAAACAGTTTGCTAATAGTGAAGAGCACATCTAATGATTATGGATTTTTTTTTCCTTTTTTCTTTTTCTTTTTTCGGTGGACTCGTATTTAGTACAAGATGTCCTACCAATTTCTGCATTTTGTCTTGTGTCATGTCATTGGTTAGCTCTACAAAATCTCATGTTATTGATTCACCGTCATTTTTTTTAGTTGAAATTCCACATAATTATTAAGCCATTGGGCACAGATAATGTACTGAAGTAATTTTCAGAGATTCCATTTTCCTGCTAGCCAATCAAAGAATAAAAAAATCAGAGATTTTATTGGCTTGATTTGGTGTGACCAAAAGTACTCACACGTTGAGTGTTCGTATTAAACTATATCTACTTGCATCAAGAGATAAACGAGTGACCACGACCCTACCAAAAGTTCATGAACATTGAGCTGAATCCTGCAAATAGTCTTGAGAACCTCTGAGTGATTAACCGCTTAGAATAAAGCTCAATACCATTGAAGCCACCACCTTTGCTAAAGCAACAACATGACTTTTACAAACGTACGTACTAGGATGGGGTCAAACAATGTCATTCATAAATGAGGTACAGCTATCAAATTTGCAATTGGGAAAAAGAGATTGCTTTCAGATGTGTGGAAGCATAATGGCTCCTTTTTTTTTTTTTTTTTTTTTGGAAAAGTTAAGGAAGTGTTCTATACAGATTTAATCTTAGTAGGTCAAACAAGAACCACAAAGGAGTCTAGTTTTGTATCTTTCGTCAAGACTAAAAGAGGCCAAGCTAATTCATTTTTGTGGTATGCTGTGTACAACTGTGCTAATCCATTTTTGTTTTTTCTTTGATGTTTTCTTTTTCTTTTTAAAGGGAAAATTCTCCGTTCGTTTCACCGATTCGAGTTTAGAATTTAAGTTTTATTACAGTAAAAAACTCTCAGAAACAATCACATCTAATTTTTTTACTACAGTAAAAAACTCTCACATAAAATTACATTTTAATATAAATTAAAAACCCGAATCAACGAACTAAACGGATCCTCAAAGTCTTATTCCGAGTTCATAAAAGTGCAAGACCAAGAAAGTCCTTTTCTTTTTGAGATTTAATGAAAAAAGATTAAAATTAGTCCATTTCTTAAGTAGTCTGCGTTTGGTATTACTTTTTACTCTCAAAATCAACTTCTTCTTGTAGCAAAAGTTAATTTTAGTGTTTATTAAATCTCTTTAAAAGTATTTTTTGAAAATTTTTTGAAAAATTTACAGTCAAAATCAGAAGCAGTCCAAAGACAACTTTAACTTTTTGATTGTGTGAGAATCAACATAATACAATTAATGAAATTTTTATAATATCCATAATACCCCTAATGAAATTTAAAATTTACAATCTTCACAATCTAAAATTTAAACTCGTAATATAATATAATATAATATAATATTACAATAATATTATATAAAATAATGTAATAGTAATATTATAACAAATAGTATCATAATTATATTAATAATTTTAATATTATTATTTTATCATATAATATGATATTATAATAATATTATAATTATTCTAATAATATAATATTATAATTATAGGTAAAGTTTTCAATCCAGTATCAGATTAGAGTGGTATATATATATGTCTTTTAAAAACATGTATATTTCCTCTTCGATATATGTATATTTCTTTTAAAAACGTGTATATAGGTGTTTAGATAAATTATAGGTGTTTTCTCACATTATACATGTTTTAAAAGAAAATATACATGTTTTTAAATGAAATATACATATGCCGCTATATTCTGGTACCGGATTAGAGATAATTTTTATAATTATAATATGATATTATAATGATTATTTTTGGATTTAAAATAAATGAATGATCATTCACCCATTTTTGGTGAATCATCATTCCTTCCTCATATAGGAGGAATGACCATTTTAAGTTTTTTTTTTCCATAATTACCCTTC